ATCTCTCCTGATATGTCAACATTGAGACTGCAAAAAATTAGATGCCTTTCTGAATAAAGCAATAATATAAAAATGCTTTCAGCAGACAATGACTGCACTGGCTTAAATGTAAAATAACCAATGACAACTACGCCTTATAAAACTGTATATTTTCAGAAGATAGGAAACATAGGGCAACTCTCTCTCTGTAGAAGACCATGTTACATTGGTATGGTATTCATTCAAAGACAATATCTGATGATGTTAGCATGTACAGGCGTGCTAAAAAGGAAGTACTAAAACCGAGTAAACAATGTAATTCAACAGCTTGCAGAAACACTTTTAGAAGGAGCAACTTCAAGTTGCTTGAAGTGCTTGTTTTCTAATTCCATCAGTTTCTCACATTATTGCAGAGGGATTTTGGCCCACTCTTCTCAACAGTGTTGATTCAGTTCATTGAGGTTTGTAAGCATTTGTTTATGAGCAACCCTCTTATAGTCCTACTAAAATATTTTAGTTGGGTGTTGTTGAGCTTCAAATCATTGTCCTGTTTGGCCAAGCTGTATCTGTCAGACAGACAGTCTTACATTTGACTTTAGAATAATTTGTTATAAAGAGGAGTTCATGGGTGACTTTATGACTGCAAGGTACAGATGTCCTGTAGCTGCAAAACAAACCTAAAGCTTGACAATGTGTATGAGGTGTTTGTGCTGAGATGCTGAGTTTGGTTTTTGCCTAACGTGGTGCTGTGCATTACGGCCAAACATCTGGCCACTTTGGTCATGTCTGTTCTTCCAAACAATTCATGCTTGTTAAGTCTTTTTTAATTGTATAAAACTTTTTTAAAAAGTAACAACTTGCTAACTGAGACCTGTAGAGCCTGATGTGTAGTTCTTGGGTTGAATTTGCTTGGAAGATTGGTTTTATATAGCTTCCACTTGTCAACAACTTTAAATGATGGACTTCAAATTGTTTGGAATTAGCCTTATAACTCTTCTCAGACTGATTGGCAGCAAAGTTTTTCTCTTTAAGTCTTTGCTTTGTATCTCCTACATACGATTGTGTTGAAAAAACCTGAACTCCAGACCAGCAAACCCCTGCTTTTATAGAGTGCTTAATACTTTTTCATAGACTGCTTCTGCATTTTAGCTTCATTTTGATGTGTCACATATTGTTGTTCATCTGAGGCTGTACTTTTCAGAATTTAAAACCTGCTAAGGAACAGATGATTTTTGTTAAGTCCTGATATCTAAAACCTTCAAATGAAAAGAGTATGCAGTTTCTTTTTGCCATAACTGTAAATGTGTTTTCCTTCATCCCCACTTTTCAAGCCTCTCTGGAACAAAAAAATAGTTTTATTCAGGTAAGCTTGAGATCTGGATCCAATCCAATCCACAACTTTACTGATTTGCCTCATTTTCACTGCTGCCATCGCATCTCTTTCAGAGAAAAAGCTATAAAAGCGATTGTGAACAGCAAACCAAAGTCATTAGGATCTGGAGATTGTTAATGTCACACACAGTGTTGTGTCAGTCAACCTTGTGGATGCCGTTACTATTCTTTTGTGTGATTTGAAATTTTATTGACTTTTATTGACACGCTTAAACGTAACTTCTGTTGGCTTCATAAATAATATGCAGCATTTAAACACATGTAAGTCTAATTTGTGACTAACTGTGTAGCATAAGCAGTGCAGTATCACATTATGAGAGTCTGCTATACAGTGACGCAGTCTGCTGGTGGTGCTGGAGACAAGGCCGTCTTCGGAGCCAAACCGCTATTGTGCTAAGTGCCTTTTTTATGCAAGATAAATCATTCTTAAACTTGTGAACTTCCTGAGATGCTGCAGCGAAGCAGCCTCCTCAGCCTGTCAAAAGCCTTTGCTTCATCCACAATCCCCCCGCCGTATCGCCGGGGACCTAATTCTGCCTGCAGGATGTGTGTGTGCTTAGGTTCGCCTGTCTTTGTGAGGACATTTTTCTCAGGTCCTCATTCCTTTATCAGGCTCTTTCACGGTTAAGATGTGGTTTAAGGGATCAGTTCGGGGTCTAGGTTAAAGGTTCGTTTCTTTGGAAATGACTGTGCATCTTTGTGCTCTGATATGTGAGAATCATCCATCTTCATTTACTTTAAACACGTGTCCTATATGCTCTACACATGTAAATCTTCAGTGCAGCGGTATTTGATTGGCTGCCTCCTCAGTGCTGAGACCGTGCCAGTGACACAAACAAAACCGATCTGTTCTGATGAGGCCTGCAGCAAAGGCAAACATTTTCACTGAAACTGCAAATATTGTCCAATCATCACATTTATAATTAAGATTTATGACTGCAGCGAGAAAAGTGTACATTTTGGAATTTAACTCGCGGCCTCCCTCAACCGCACGTCGTAGTGTGCGGTCATTAATGAAAAGTCATCGATATGATTGTGTCTCAATTAAAGCAGGATGTGTTGCGGGGCTCAGCTGGTTTCCTGGTGTCAGATGTGAATAATGGTGATTACTGCAGAGCAGAGTGGGCTGACAGAGAGAGAGTGAGGGCAACGTGTTCAGCATGTCAAACATTTTGAATCCTACATCAAAGATACAGTCTACTCCTGACAAATGCAGCTTTGAGATAGGACGACCTTTTATAGTTCTCTAAAGACACATAACCTTTTTTCAACATATTTATAGAAACCATCATTCTTGTTGTTGGGTGATTTAAACATTACCTGCTTAATGAGTCCAAAGCACATGTGGGTTATTTTTCACGTGTCAGTAATAATTACAGACAGAAGGACCTTCTTTTCCCTCTATTGACTGCTGCTCTCATAATTTAAACACCAGCTCAGTGTAAAATGTGGAAAAACCAAGGAAATGGAAATCTTTCTGCTGTTCTGACAGATGGAAACATGCCAGCACCAACATATAGGTCATTAATTAACCCACCAAAGATGAGCCTCAGCAGAGTCAGACCTCATTAAAGCACATCTAATATGCCACTGGAGTGCCACTAACTCTGGTTGCTGTTGTACACAAAAACACAAACTGTAAATAAAAGATGGAAGTAGCCCATTTGGAAGTTTGCTTACATTTAGCATTTTGTCCATTGCCATCTTTATATGTTGAAACTGGACGTAAGCAAGGAGTTGATCTGGCTGAGAGTTGACTAGTCAGTGATGAAGCAATGGCATAAAGTGCATCCTGCTTTAGAATCTATTTTACTCTAAATGGATCTTGAATTTACTAAATGAATGTCATGGTGTGTTCAGGAAGACTTTAAAATATCAACTGAAACTGTAAACTCTTTACAAATTTGTTTTCTAATGTCATTAATCATTGAACAATAAATTCATAGAAATATATAATTTCAAAACTACTTCCTGGTTTTTTGAGGCACTTCCTACTTGACTTTTCAGATCTGAAGGTTAGGTCTATCTTAATTATCTCTGGTTTACCTTAACACTGACAAGAAAAAAAGCAAACTTGTTTTAAAGTCTTTCCCTTTATAAATTTAAATGTAGTTTATTTGCTTTCTGTTTCTTTTTCTGTTAGTCCAGATAAAATGACATCCCCAATAATGAGTTAAATTACCAAGAACCAAAATGTTGCTCCGCACTTCCCCTGTGACACTAATTGGACCAGTGGAGGCTAGTTAGCATTGCTTGCTAACCTTCCCTTTCTTAATGGCAGTGCATACTGGGGTCTCCAGCCATCAGTGACCCATAGCATAGTAAATTAGTAAAGAAAATAGCTGGCTGGTCCTTCGCGATCAAAATGTAATTTTCTAGAGTGTTCTATTTAAATGGCAGAATAATTAGGTTAAATGAATCAATAGAGTGCCATAAGCAGAGGCAAAATGCATTGATACACATTAAAAACACAGCTTATAGCTGTACCACCCTGAGCACACCCATCCCATCTGATCTCAGAAGCTAAGGAGGGTCAGTCCTGCTTAGTATTTGGATGGGAGACCCACTGGGAACACCAGGTACTGTAAGCTTGGGGTGGCTGGAGAGCAGGTCATCTGCTAATTGGAGAGTTTATGGTTTGATCCTTGGCTGCTCCAGTCTTTGGCAAAATACTAACTCCAACTTGGTCTTTGATGCTTCCGTCATAGAGTGAATGTTATATTGAAAGCACTTAAGCATAGAAAAATGCTGACGTGAGTGACGCAAGTTGTATAAAGTGTATTGAGTGCTCTAGGAGAGTAGAAAAGCACTATGTAAGAATCCATTTACCGTTCAAAACCCAAACATTTCAACCAAGAGCTAAAACTTTAAATTCTATACATATACGTTATGCAGTAAATGCAGCAAAGGGGAAAAATGTAAACTGCAACACATCGTCTTTGGATTGTGTCTGCACAAAATCTCATTGCATCCTGGCTTATAGTTGTTGATATAGCTCAATGTGGACCAAAGTGGTGGGTTGACTGAAATTTATACTGAATAAGAAAAGCATAATTATAGAAACGGCCACAGTGGGTGTCAAGACACAGGAACAATGGTGCTGTTGTTGCTTTGCATGATTCCTGCTTGTAATTGGTATGGATGCAGCTGAAAAACCAGCCTGTCACACAGAAATGTGGGATTTGTTCAGCGTCACCGAGCGCTGTCAGTTTGTTCCTCTGATGTTCTCCGTGTGGCGCCGACAGCTCGGCTCAGCGCAGGGGTGGGAAACTGTTAATGAGCGAGATGCCGGCCCACTAACAACACACATAAAGGGCGCGAGTGTGTGTCTGTGTGCGTATTAACCAGCGAGAGAGGAGTTCATATCGCAGTTCTGTGTGTTTTCTAAGATTAGAAACTGCTGCTTAAGTGTCAGTATATGTGTGTGTACGTGTGTGTGTGCTTTAAGCTTCTTTTCTTGGTAGAAAGTCAGCTGGGATTGGAGCATTTCTTCCTAATTGCCTAAAGATTTCTCTGCTCTTGCATCAACTTTGGCTTAGTGATTCATTTCCAGTCTCAAGGATTTTTTTTAGGACTTTGCCATGTTTCAAAGTCCTTAACTTCCGTTTTTTTTGTATTTCACAGGTGGACTGTGACTGTGGCTTGGAGTGGATGGGCCCCTGTGTTCTCCCAGCCAATAATCCATCCCTCCATCTTACCGTCAGCCGGAGGAAAGATCTGATGACAGGACTGCAGAGAGTGGAGAGAAAAGACCCCCTGCTATGGCCAGTGGTACATATTGAATTTACTGTACTTTCTGAAGATAGGCCAACTTTGTTAGGCCATGTTTTTTCTTCTGTGTGTGTATATGTATATATGTTTTTTCCTTTTTTTGCAAGAAAGGAGAGGAAAAACTTTGACAGGATTCTGTTGGGAAAGTTTCCCAGAGATAGCATAAATCCACGTGGAAGACAGTCCTCCTTGTTGAAGCCTTTTCTCCACATTTGTATGCCTGATCTGTCAGTTACAGGGGATTGAAAGTATCAAAATAACTTCCTCTGACCATTTCTGAGTTCATCTTCTGTGACAGCAATACTCGGCTGTTTGACATATTTTGTCCCCGGTTGTGCTCTGCAGTCTCCTTTTGTTATCGTGAATGGATCTATTTTCTGCAGCAGAATTTATCACAGGAGCCTTCAGGAACACCTGCAGCTAAAACTTTGCTAAGTTAACACTCAAAGTGTGCCGGCTGATTCTGAAAGACTCGTTATAAAACACTTGTTGTAGTGTAAAACACTTATTGAGCTAAGCTTAATACATCGCTTTCTGTACAAGACACAGTCACACTGGTAGCTTATTGAAAAGCAATATTGAATTTTGTAATATGAGCCGTCCCCACACTTTTTAAAACCTTTTCCCAGAAAATATTACCTTCTCATTTAATGCAGTTTCATCCTGTATTGCATTCAATGTGTTTTTCTTGTTTCTGCTACAGCAGCTGATGGTGTAGGCAACCTGGGTGCTGAGCAGAACCACATTAGTGTTCCTGTCGCTGATCATGGAGCCTGGGCCACAGCCATGAACAACCTAGGCATCATGCCCATGGGCATCAGCGGGCAGCAGCTGGTTTCAGGTACCCTCTACTCTCAACTTTACAAAATTTATTCCACTGGCAACCATATATATATATATATATATATATATATATGCATACACAATATAAAAGAACCACTGTTTTCAGCAGGTGTTTTATAGCAGGGGTGTTACTACATGTCCCAAGCTGATCCCAAGGATGGATATGAAGGTTGATTTAGGAATATTTTAAAGGGCTGTTTAGATTACCAATAATTAAAAGTTCTTGGCTCATTTGTCTCATTCATTCAAAACAATTACTTCAAGTACAATCATGGAAATAAGGAAGCATGTTATCATTTTAGCAGAATTTTAGCAGTGCAGTTCAGTGTTTTAACCCTATCACCTCTTATGTGAGAAAAAAAAACAACAGGTGGCCTGTTAACTAGCAGCACGTTCGTGGTACGAAAACCTCGAGGATGGAGTTAAGTGGATTTTTTAAAAACAGAGTAATCATATAAACACCTATGAAATATCAGATATCAATATCAGTCGTCGTATTCGCTCTGTAAATATCATGGATATGTGACAGATGTTAAGTAAGGTGAATAAACTTATATGCTGCTCGATCATTTCTGGATCCAGGCCCTGTTTGTCCAATGAATGCATTGGTCTGTATTTGATTGTCTCAGTTTCAGAAGCTCTCAGCAACCATAAATCTGTGGATATGTATATTGCAGGTCTTCATGTAGAAGGTACAAGGGCTGTATTGCTTTAGTTATTACTACTTAATGTTACCTAAAGAGACTCTCAAATTCTCCAGATGGAAATAAAATCACTCACCACACGAGGTAATGTTATGGTCCCACCACTTCCACCAGCACTAAAAAGGTTTGAGTCTGTAAGCCAGATAACAGCCTGTTATCTGGGCCCTGAGAAACAGACTGTACAGTGAGAAAAATTGGAGACGTGAGTTTTGCATATCTGGTGCTGACTGGAAACAACATGAAGGTTCAGGTTGATGTGAGGCAGTGGAAAAGAATCAATATGTTTTGATTAATGAGCAAAATCAAAAAGAGTTGAGAGAGTTGTTCTCTGGATACATCAAAAATTACTGACCATGCCTTTCCATCACTAAACATTTACTGCGCCTCTTTAGTAAATCCCACGTTCTCCTGTGCTTAGAGAAAGTTTTGCACTCATACAAGCTGTTAGTAGATCCTGTCCTTGCCGTGTTATTTCTTGGTAAAAGTAAAAACCTCGATGTATCATTGAACTTTTTTTTTCAAGCCTCAGGGCTCAGAAATATCACTGAATCCGTGTGAATCAGTTCAAAACAAGAAAAACAGGGTGTGCACAAATGTGCACCATAGTTGGCTACAGAGGGGGACGCGGGATGGGAACCATGTGAGGATTGTTGGAAGACCTGCGGCTCAGCGATGGAACTGGTTACTTGATAGGGAGAAAAGCAACCTGAAATGAATTTAGTCATTATTATTTATTTATTCTGGATGAAGCAGTTAGTCGGGCCTGACCTGAACACATGTGCAAACATCTATTTTTTTTGGGTTTGTTTTGTTTTGACTCAATCAATGATGCATACATTTAGCATGAGGACACAATGTCATATAATAACCTGCTACCCCAACAAACCCACCGAGCATGTCAGAACGATAGGATGTTTTTCTAGTATTTCATCCTTTGTGAAATTCTCTTTCACTTGCTTTAAAAAAATCTTTTGGCTTTTATTTAATCTGAAGAAATTTTTGGAAAATACTTGTATTTAATTCTGTTTCAGTAACATATCTAAAACCTAAATGTAACTTCCTGACTGCTTTTATCACTTCTCAGCCAACACTAAATGTACCAGACAGCACTGCTCTGCAGCCTTTCTTTGCTCTCCTATTAATTATCCCCCAACAGATTCTTCCTGTGAATCTTTGGAGCGTTCCTGGACCACAAAGCAGATATTATTCATTATGAACTCTGGACATCTTCTTATAATCTGTGTGTTGTTATAAGAACAGAGTGCTTCTTGCATCAGCAGGCAGAAATTTTCCAGATGTATCAAACTGTGACACTTTGCTAAAGAGGGCAGGGCTGGAAAAAGCATTCGTCTCAATATAAACTGAAACATCTGGACATAATAAATACTGCTGTTTTGTTCTCTCTTTTTTTCTTCTTTTTTCATATGTAAACCATATACCTCAAAAAGTGCCCGGCGGACTACGAAGTGTAACCAGAGAAAAATATGCAAGGCCACAACTAGAAACTGATCTTTCTGTGTCCCTCAGCAGGGTGTACAGTGTGGCTGTGCTCCAGACTAACCGCTCTCACTTGTTATTTCAACTAAAACTACACTAAGCTCTGTGTCTAGCTGCTCTGCTTCGTTTTCTCTTTCTCTGGGCTTAATTTCACCTCAGGATCTATTTACGAAATTGTCTTTCTGAGACGTGGGGATTTGTCTGAGCTTTATGGTCGCGTGTGTGTTACCATTTAAGAGCTGTCGTTGTATAAGTGCTGCATTGTGGGGCTTTAATATGTGAACACGTGGGGAGATTTGTTGAGTAGTTGGTTGTGTGTGTGTGTTAAGTCCAGAATAATTGATTGCATGGATTTAACTGAGTGAAGCCACAATGAGGAGAGAGGAGCTGTTGTAGGGAGGGACAAACAGCATCGTAGCAACCAAATTCCTCTGGATCCGAGTGGAAATATTAAAATGATGACATGCTCTTTCGCTCTGATGATGTGATGAGACTACACCTCTGGCAACATCTGCAGCTCTCTTCCCTTGTTAAACTACAGGGAGGGAGGGAACGTTTAGGTAATGGAAGGCTGACAGAAAAAAAAGACGAACGAGTGGATCAGATATGTGTCTTTTGAAGGGTCATACCACAGAAACATGTGTTACTGCTTTCAAATGTTTCAGGGAGACAGTTATTAATTTTTTAAAGTGGTGCTGATAGTATTCAGAGACTTTATTTAAAGTAATAAAATAGTATGTATGTGTGGATCTGAGTTTACTTTGTGTTTTATTGTGAAGTTTAGTTCCTCGTGTGGCTCCCCTTTGTTCTTTTTCCCACCCACATCTCTGCCTCATTTCAGTTCATCTTGTGCCCTTTTATCTGTCTTTGGTGTGTATGTTTCTTCTGTGTTCTCTCAGTCTGCTTTGGTGATTTCTTGATAGTAGTTTGGATTTTTGCAGGTTGTTTGTTTGACCCTAACACTGAGATCTTTAGGTAATGAAAATGTGGCGTCCCTATATAAAAAGACAACTGCAGGACAAAGCACACGGAGCCTGTGACATCACATAAGTGGACCTGATGAATTTAGAGAAGACTTAAAGATTGGTTGGCCCAGTGCAGTTGGTGGGCGTACCAAATTTCCTGCTGTGTATTTGAGCAGCTTAAACCAAGAATTATTTATAAGTTAGTTTGGACTTAACTTGAGTTACAGTTACAGTGAGAATCAACAGAAGCAATGCCAGAAACAAAAGTAAATGGTCATTAATGCTGCATCATTTCACACCTTGTGTTATCTGTACAAAATAAACAGAATCCTGTAAGAACCTGATGCCCTCTCACCGTCTCGTCTCCTTATATGCCCACAGTGTCACAGTGCAACATTAAGCAAAAGGTGCAAAGGCCAATCTTCAAGACTAAAAATAAAGCAGGTAAACTTTCCTAACTGCAGCTTCTGTCCTTCTGTGTTATAAGAAGGAAACTTTAATGTTAATCCTGCTAACCCTAGCTATTGCACAGATGTAATGCAGTTAAAAAAGTCCAGAATCTAAAAAGTATATATATTTAAGTTTATTACAAGTACCAACACTTTGAACTAATATGCAGAGTCATTTGTTATGATATTGTAAAGTATTGGAAACATGTGTGAAACCTGGACCCATTTGTTAAGGGCTAAAAACGAGGCCATGTGGGTCAGAGCTCCAGTGTGATTTGTGTTAAGATTACAATTAGGATACATTTAAATGCTCACTTTTCATTGTATGGGTGTGTCGTGACTGATGAGCTCTCACCTTGATGTTAATCACAGCCAGATGTTTC